TTATTGACTGAGGCCAGGAACCAAGGTTATTCCCTATTGATAGGGCTTCCTTGTATATCTTGTGTCCATGTGATTTGATTGATTACTTTGGTTTATATCTTCTATGTCAAGCATGTTTGTACTTAAGTGAAAAAGGAATAAAGTACCTAAGACCAATTCAACCCTCCCCCCCCCCCCCTTCTGGTCCAAGAGGAGTAGCAACCTAAGCCCGAGGGTCCGGATCACTAATCGGGTCCCGACCCGACCCGGAGACACCCAAAAGGTAAAATGGTCTTTATGACCTGTACAAGGCATTAAAAGTCTAAATGAAGTCATGGAAGCCAATCCTAACCATTAAAGATCATTTAAGATCGAGAAAATCAACCCCGGTCACTCTTCGGTTCAGTTAGGGTTACAAGGGTAAATCAATCTTTTTGGACCATTCATTGCATTGGGGATCTTATAATTGTCTTCTAAACCATATATGACCACTTGGGGTCATTTAGAATTAAACTAAATTGACTTGGTTCAAGGCCGCCCAATTTAGGGCTTAAAATGGCAAAAATGCCATTTTCGACCACTTCACTCGTTTCCCGTTGGGGCCATGGGAATCCCAACCTCTCAAAACCCTGTAGGACCAACACAATGAGTTTCGAAAAAAAAATAAAAAAACAGTGCCTAGGATCTAATAACGAGCGCTCGTGGGGTGTCTTCGAACACTCGCAAGACACCCACAGGCGTCCCCATGCACGTGCAGTGGCACACTGCATGCAACCCCAATGTCAGACGAGCGCTCGTCCTTGTGCCACAAGCACTCGAATCTGTTTCGAACACGCCTTTTGGTCATTTTGACTCATTTGCCCGTGTCCCAACTCATGAGCATGCATTGATACAAATAATAAAATTAATGCAACAATTTACAATTTTGGAAATATTAAATCATGCCAAATTCATTTACATGATCCTTATTACATTGAAAATGATACAATTAAGTACAAGTTACAAACTTAGACCCTTATGGTCAAATTTACAATATTTTACAAGAATTTACATTAACTTTGCATTTGATACAAAAATAATAAAAGTAAGCTTCCGTCAACCCTAACTATGTTCGTGAGGGTCCTTCATCAACCACGATTCCGTCATAACTTGAAAAATGTTAATAGAAGGGGTGAGCACGGAGGCTCAGTAGAAGATGCCTAAGGCGCTAACTTTAGACTCCCTTGAGCCACACATCACACATTGGGGATAAAATAAAACCAAGATCATACTTGGGGATTTCATAGCATTTAATTCATGAATCGATCTCAACAATAGCATTTATACATTTCAATAAAAGTATGCATGGAATGCAATGCAACGCCCCACATTCTCCCAACCTAAGTCACACAGAGCAGAAGTGAGTGCGAGAACGAGAGCGAAAACAAGAGCGCGAAAGCGTCAAAGTCTAAATTTTTTTAAAGCTGGAGTGTCTTGAGAGCATTTATATATTAGGTTTAAATAAAATTATACTAGGTCATGATATATTTATTTTTTATTTTTTATTTATTTAAATCCATATGCAAATATATTTATTTTTATTTGTTTCATTAATGATATATGTAATAAATTTTTTTAAAGCGGGAGCGTGTTGAGAGCGTCTCATGATATATTTATTTTTTATTTTTTATTTATTTAAATCCATACGCAAATATATTTATTATTATTTATTTCATTAATGATATATGTAATAAATAAGTTAATTTTTCTCAATAATAGATACATGATTTATTTGTAATATTTTCCAATTGGAAAGTTTTTTAGTGGTATATTTTCAAACATGTATAATATATATATATATATATAGATAGATATATATGATAGTATAGCAATGCATACAACTGGCACACATGGAGTTTAAGTAATTAATGTATATATTGAGTAATAATGTAAGTAATAAATACATATATGATAACTATGAAAAATAAATGGAAAATGATATTAGCGCCGATCATTTTGGCAGATTTGTTAAACCGAAGCATACGTGGCCAGCCATGTCATAACAATCTCCTACGTTGTCCTAAACCAAAATTAGACTCGTCTGACCAACCAAGTTCTTGCCGGAGATTTTGTTCTTGTTGACACTCACTGATGCTAGAGCATGGCCAGAATCTCAGGTGTCAGAACTAAGTCAGTGATGAATGCCAAAGTGAAACTCTCAGCCGCTGAAGAGAATCTGAGACTGTATGGTTCTCCTCTTCTTCGCGAAATTTTTTTTTTCTTTTGGATCGCAAAATTAGTTCATTGATCTTTTGTTCTTGGTCGGTAATGCTGTCGTTAATCTCTACCAACCCGTCCTCTCTCTCCCCTTAAATTTCTTTCTCCAAACCGTGAGCCACTGCCCTCTGTCTCTGCCTTTGACTTCGTCGTTTACCATAAGCCTCGCCGACTCGGCCGTTTCATTCCCTCCATTAACAACCTAATCAGATTTCCAACTACACCAATCAACCACTTGCAAACCCAAATCCCCACCAATTATACCGACAAACAGACCCATTAAACAAATAAAGCCATTCAAACTCTTCTCTCGTCACTGTTGACAGAATTGGATCACCATCACCACCACGGCGTCGAGCATCGCTGTCGTCAGATTTCTGGTCCTTGCTCGCCATTCAATAACGACTATTCAGTCATCATACTTACTTGCAGATTCAGATTTCTGGTCCTTGCTCGCTTGTGTGGTCTGTAGTCGCCGTCTAGATTTGGTGTCGGTGATAGCCGATCTTCATATCAGTTTGTTCGAGAAGATGAATAGACGATGTGTGATGATGTTGATGCCAAATGGGATTATTTTTTTTGCCTCGACGACCACATGTATTCTGCCTAGCAAGTAGGTTAGACATTTATGCTTGAATATCATGGCCCTAAATAAATAAATGCATATATGATAATATAGTGTTCGCGCGGTTTTTGTTCCCGACGCCGGTCGATGGACTCTTCGCGGGCGTGCCAGAGTATTTGTACAAAATACCCAAAATATGTAATTGAACACCAGCCTATCCCTTTTTCCGATGGCTGACTCTCAGGCGATTGTGTGGGAGAGAGACTAGTAAGAACTCCCAGCAAGGTTCTTTTATGCCTTGTTTGTAGCAAGGACTTTTTAGAGTGTCTAAAGAAATGCAACGGCTGATGAATGTTTGAATGGATAGAATGGCCAAGTGAAGACAGGCGGCAAGAACTTAATCGATCGCCGGCCGAACGTGATGGCGAGAACTTAATCAATCGCCATCAGCCAAACACAATGGCAAGAATTTAATCGATCGCCACTGAAACGTGATAGCAAGAATTTAATCAATTGCCATCAGCCAAGTAATGACAAGAATTTAATCAATTGTCACTACAATTCAATGGCAAGAATTTAATCAATTGCCATTGAATTGAAAGCCTAACTAAAATTGCGTAATTAAAATTGGCATAATTGAAATTGAAAGAAAGTAAATGGCTGAATCGAAATAGTTGACAATGATCTAATCAATTGCCATTAAATTGAAATAAAGAAATTGATAGGAAAATGACGTAGAGTCAATTGAAAACATTTTAGTTGAAATGCATGTTTTGTGGTGGTGCTGGACAAATTGGAATGGAATACAATACTTCTATTTATAGAAGTTCTATCTCAACTTATTTTCCTAAGTTATTGCTAGAAAATCTCTCCTTCTTTGATTCTTTCTCTTCACAATTTGAACTCAGTCAAATCCTATTGTTATTCCGCTTCCTTTCTTGTTTTGTTTCAGTAGGAAATCTCTGTAAAAACAACCTTCCTCGATTTAATCACATGTAAGTTGCCGAGATATTGCTAAAACGTTGCTAGAAAGTTGCTAAAAAGTTGCTAATTTTTAGCAACTCCCCTCCTTAAGTTTAGCAGCCCGTTTCATTCCCTTAAATGGCCCAAAAGCCATTTATCGATTTTATATTCATGACGCGGCTTCCTTTCATATTTTTCCTTGTTCCATCCAACTAGAATTCCTATAAAATAGGAATTCAGTTGTCTGATTTCCTTAAAACTTTAGTCTTTCCTTTCCTGTTGATAACCCAACTTGAATAAAGTCAAATGTTTGTTGCTATATTTTAACAACTGCCTTGTTAATGAAGTGGCTGAGTAACTTTCTCCAATACTTGCTCCTAATATTTCTTAACTGGCTGATTCCCTTGACGCCATGTTAAAAATACTTATCAGCTTTTCATTGGTTCACGTCATCGCTGAGATGGCTGCCAAGTTTTGGTGCCAACAAATGCCCTCCAAATTTCAAATGTCTTATCGGCCACTCAGGCCGATAAGATTTTTGGAATTTTTATAACATGAAAGAAACTGGCAGCCAGCGAGCTTCTAAACTTTATTTCTTCCGAACCACCTCTATGTTGGTCTTTATTTTGCGTCAGCCAGGGCTGGCCTATCCTGGTTCTTCTATTATTCCCACAAAGCTGGCTGATACCTCTCAAAACAGTGGCCATTTATAAATACATGATAGACCTCACCATTGAAGTTTCCCAACTCTACTAGTAAGGTATGGTCGTGATCGGCCGGGATCAAGTTGTTATGTAATATTATTTGGGCCGATCTAACTGGCTTCTCCATTAAAAGAACAACATTCTGCTAGTATAGAGCTTTTCTGATGGCTGATCCTCTTGAATTTTTAAACTTTCTTCCGCGAATTTCTTCTCCACTTAACCCTTTTTAGTTTCCATCCCCGCTTTCTTTTCTTGAAATTTGGTTGAGGATGACGAGCTAAAAGAATTCTCTCAGCCAATGATGGTTCTGGCTGAGGATTATATACCACTCTCGGCCAAGCATTCTGGTAATCTGGCCGATTTTATCCTGAAATTCTTTTACTTCGTTGAGAAGTGAATCTCTCTTGAACACTTCTGTTAAAAAACCAAGTTTGGACTTTTATTTTATGAAAAATTTGAATTTTACCTCGGTTAATAACCTTCCGCTGAAGGCAACAACTATGTTGAATTAGAGCAGATTGTGTTTCCTTCAATTATTCTTCTAATTCTTCCACCGCTTTAGCACTTGGAGTGGCTGACGGTTTGCTCTCAGCAACCTTAGGCTGATTCCCTTCATCAAACTTTTCCTTGGGAGCCTGGCCAATCACATTACTACCTGCTATGAAAAGATCATTGTTGACCCGCATGACTTTATCATTAGCTCCTTTTTTGGCCGATACAGTAAATGTTCGAGTGCCGGATGTGGCTGGTTTTGGCTTTTTGTACATTGGTCGGCTTATTCCCCTAAGGTTATTACCATATTCTTGCTCAATAATGTTGGCCACCTGAACATTATCGACTATTGTTGGCTGATTAGGATGATCAACGACCACTAGCGGCTTATTTACATTTGTGGCTGATTGGCCATCGACTGCCCCCCAAGTACCAAAGGTTTTGGCTGATATGCCACTGGCAGCTGATTTTTAGCTAGTGACTGATTATAATTCGACCAATCTTATGGCTGATTAGCCAAATATTTCCCTTCAAGTCCTGACTGTGGTAATTCCTGAGCATAAAGTGGATTCGGAGCTCTCCACCATACCTGATTGCCTCCCAGGTTAAAAGATTTTGGCAGATGTATCACTTCCGGCTGATTTACCGCAGGTGGCTGATTGTAAATCGACCAACCTTGCTGTGATTGATTTACCACTGGTGGCTGATTTTTCGCTTTGCAAACCTTGGCCTCAACCCATTTAGTAAAATAATATGTGGCAACAATCACCCAGTGATGGCCTTCGCTTGATGGTGGATTAATTTTACCAATAAGGTCAAGGCCCCAACCTCTGAATGGCCAAAGTTTGATTATTGGCTGTAATTCTTTTGCTGGTACATTTTGAATCGGCCCGTGTCTTTGACAAGCTTGACAACCTTTTAAGTAATCTATGCAATCTTTCCTCATTCTCGGCCAATAATATCCATACCTGCGAATCAGCCATCTCATTTTAATCCCAGCTTGGTGAGCCCCACAGCTGCCCTCATGTACCTCGGCCATAACCTGAAGTGATTCCTCCGTGCTTATGCATTGTAGTAGGAGCCCATCTTCTAACCCTTTTCTGTATAGATCCCCATCTAGAAGCATAAAGTTGATCACTTTTCTTTTAATACTTCTATCAGCCTTGATGTTTGGATTTCGAAGAAACATTATAAATGGTAACCTCCAGTCATCGTCGGCCAAATCTTCTACATCAATTGTCCAAGTATCAAACAACATAGTATTTCTCAATTCGGCTGATGGCAAAGATCTTCGTGTTATCTTTATCAACTGATCTTCTATTCCGGTTGGTACTCTTATTCCTGAGGCTGCTTGGGCCATGCTGTTGGCCTCCTTATTCTGCCCTCTCGGCCAGAACTTAAGTTGAACATTATCAAATTGATTAATTAATGAAGTGGCCAGAGAATGAAACGGCCTTAATTGCCAACTTAGGCACTTAAAATCTTCAGAAATTTGGCTAAGGACTAAGTTTGAATCTCCCAAAATCTTTACATCTCTAACAGCCATTTCAATTAAAATCTCCAGGCCAATTATAAGCGCTTCATATTCGGCCTGATTATTCGAACATTTAAAATCTAAAAAGAAAGAGAATGAAGCCTTTCTGCCAGCTGGCGAAATAATAACAATACCTGCTCCTGCTCCATCAGCCGTGCTTGATCCATCAAACATCAAGATCCAAGGAGTTAAGAATATAGCTGATGACTCCAATTCATCATAAACCCATGGATCAATATCAGTTGAAGGATGATCGGCAAAAAAATCAGCCAGAACCCTTCCTTTTATTGATTTTTTGTGGGACGTAGATAAAATTGAATTCCATCAAAGCCAAAGCCCACTTACCTATTCGGCCAGTGATCAATGGCCTTGATAGCATATACTTGATCACGTTAGTCTGACAAAGAATGTAAACATCAACAGGCCGCATGTATACTCTCAACTTCATGGCCGAATAGTACAAAGATAAACAAAGCTTCTCAATTGAGGAATATCTGCATTCTACATCAGTTAGTACTCTACTCAGGTAGTAGACAGCCTGCTCCTTTCCATGTTCATTGTCTTGTGCGAGCATACTACCAATTGATTCTTCTGCGGCCGATAAATAAAGCTTTAATGGCCACTTCTTTCTTGGAGGCATTACAACCGGGGGGTTTGCCAAATACTCTTTTATTTTGTCAAAGGCCTTCTGATGGGATTCGTCCCAATGAAATTTCTCATGTGACTTTAATTTCACTAAAGTCAAAAAGACATACACTCGGCCAGCATGGTTAGAAATAAATCTTCTAAAAAAACCTACCTGGCCGAGGAACCTTTGCACTTGTTTTTTGTTGGCTGGGGCCCTAGCATTTATAATAGCTTTGACCTTGTTCTGATCAACTTCAATACCTCGTTTGTGTACCAAGAACCCCAAGAAATTCCCGGCTGAAACTCCAAATGCACACTTCAATGGGTTCATTTTCAATTTGTGGACCCTCATCCTTTCAAAGGCCCTTTTCAAGTGTTCCAAATGCTGTCTCTTGGCCGATGATTTCACAACTACATCATCTATATAAATTTCCATGAATCGGCCAATCATATCATGAAAGATAGAATTCATTGCCCTTTGATAAGTAGCCCCAGCATTTTTTAGGCCAAATGGCATCACAATCCACTCAAAAGTACCAATTGACCCAGGACATCTAAAAGCCGTTTTATGAACATCTTCCTCGGCTAAATAGATTTGATTATAACCTGAATGGCCGTCCATAAAAGACAATATTTCATGCTTAGCGGCCGAATCAATAAGTTGATCGGCCACAGGCATTCGATATTCATCTTTTGGAGTGGCATTATTTAAATTGCGAAAATCCACACAAACTCTAAGTTTGCCATTCTTCTTCATTACCGGAACAACATTAGACAGCCATTCAACATATCTAACTGTTCAAATAAATCCTGCCTTAAGAAGTCTCTCAATTTCTTCTTTAATTTTGAGCATTACTTCCGAAGACATCCTTCTTAGTGGTTATTTATATGGCTGAAAATCTTTCTTGATCAGTAATCTATGTTCTACCAATTTTCTAGACAAGCCAGGCATCTCTTCATAACTCCAAGCAAAGCAATCCTTATATTCATTTAATAATTTAATCAAATCGGCCTGGAATTTAGGCTCAAGCAAAGCACTAACAAATAATGGCCGATTATCTTTTTTAGTACCAACATTTATTTCCAATAAAGGATCTTGCACCTCTGCTTTATTATCTTCCATCCTGGAAGGGGCTGACTCCAAATCTTCAAGTTGAATTGCATCCAACTTTTCGAAACCTTCTTCAATTATATCGGCCGTGCTGGCCGATACCTCTTCATATAACTGTTCTTCTCTGGCCAATCTCTTCTCAGCTAGATATGCTTTCAGTCTTATGCAAGCGGCCCTGAAAGCTTGCCGCTTCTTTTCTTCATTGGTTTTGTGATCCATCAGTAACATCTTCAATGTCCTTGATGGTCGACCTGAAAATATCAATTTTCGGCCGAGCTGCTTCTGACAATAATTCTTTAATATCAGCATTAATTAAATTCTTCTTCATTGTTGCCGCTGCTGGTCGTCCCATCCTGTTAATGCCAACAAATTTGATAGGTACAACAGTTTCATCATAAAGTGCAGCCTCAGCCGATTACACCCTAGCTATAAAGGGTTTGTTATCGGCCTCAACAATTTTTACCTCATTTCCATCCCAAAAAATCAACATTTGATGCAAAGTTGATGGGATGCACATGTTAGGATGAATCCAATCTCGGCCTAAAAGGAGATTATAGGCCGCGGTTGAATCAATGATAAAGAAAGCCGTAAAGGATGTCTTACCGCCAATAGTAATTTCCAAAGGTAGAATACCTTTAGTGTTACTAGATCCTCTATTAAAACCACTGATGGCCACGTCGGTTGGAACTACATCGTCCATGGTTTTACCCAATTTCTTCAAAGTAGTTGATGGAATTACATTCACCACCGAACCATTGTCAACCAAAACCCTATTGATTGGCTGACCCTCAACCCATACTTTAACATACAACAGCCTCAACTGCTGTGTCATGGACAAAGGTGGTTTTTCAAAAATGATTTTATCGGCCTTAGATGGCTGATCCTGAGAGATCAATCCTATCCCGGCCGATGAACTTGTCGAATCGTTCTTAATTTCTGAAGATTCAGCCTTTTCTTCCTGCTTGGCTTACTTAACATCCCTGTTCATCGTTGGTTCTATCCTTGCTTCAAACACAGAAGGCAAAACAAATACCATGTTACAATTTACCTTATCCGGGAGAGAACCAAAACGAATTATGTACTTGGCCGCGTGCTTTGGATCCTGGTCGGGCTGATCATCTTTTTCTTCATAAAAACATGCCTTATTCTCAAATGATGTAGCAACTTCCATGTCTTCAGCCACCACTGGTTCATTTTTCCTTTCTAGTTGATCATGGTCGATCTTGTCTTCTTTCCTTTTGAGTTCTGCATTTTTCCTTTGCATCCTCCTTTTTTGGGTACGTGTAGGAGGCTGCTTAGTAAACTTTGGGTGACTTACTCGAGTCCATCTGCCATGGTCAACCAAAGGAGGTCTAACCGTTCTTACACGGCTAGATTCTTCTCCTTTTTGAACCCATATTTCTGACTGAATTGTTGGTTTCCTTTTGAAACTAGGATAAAAATGTTGTTCTGGCAGGACTCTCTCGGCCACCGATGACCGAATGATTCTCACTGCCCTCGGCCCATTTTCTCTAAATATTGATCGATTGATTTCTTCGTGATTCTGTCTAGGCTGATGGCCTAACCTTTCATGGACACTGCGCTTTTTGGTTGATTAGAAATAGCCCCTCTTGTCTGAGTCATTCCTTTGGCCTTTGCAATTTGGACAACAACCATGGTTGATGAGGGCAATTTGAGCTTCTCTTAACTGAATTTCCAAGTCCTTAACTTTCTACTCATCATTACTGGCCGATGAACTACCAAGGACTTTTGGTAATCTTTCCTGTCTACCATTATCAGCGGCTTTTTCAGTTGCCAGGCTGATTACATTGGTACTGACAATATTAGGAAATGGATCGCCATCGACCCCCATTACATCTGGCTTCTTTTCAGGGAATTTCAATACACCTTCATCGATAGATTTCTGCAATACATTTCTAAATACATAACAATTGTTAGTAGTATGATTCCATGAATTATGAAATTTGCAGAACTCTCTTCCTTTTAAATCATTGGTCGATGGTATATTGTGTCCTTTTGGCAAAACGATTTGTTTGTCGGCCAACAAATGATCAAAAATTTATTCTATTTTGGCCAGATCAAACGTATAAACCTTACCAGTATCAGCCGTATCCTTCCTGGCCGATGAAGTCGATAGCTGAGTACCACTGGTGGATACATTTGGTTTTGTTAAAGCGTCACATACATAAGGTTTCTTTAGAATGACTTCGGCTAAATTAGCTTCAAAATCTTCCTCTTCAACCACATCAGTTGAATAAACTTCATAGTTGGGGTCCCTATAGTACGTACCTTTAGAGGAATTTTTTCGTTCTTTCTCCTCTTTGAGAACCAACTCATACCTGGTAGCTTTCTCGGTAAGGTCATACATATCACGAAATGGAACTCCTTCAAACCTCTTCCGAAGTTCAAAATCAAGGCCGTTCAAAGCCAAACGAATGTACTCCTATTCTGGAAGAGGTACACGACATCTTAATCTTGCTCTCCTGAATCTTGCAATGAATGTCTCGACCGATTCACTAGGCAATTGACTTAGCCTGGATAAATCGGCCAGAGTAGGTTCTGTCTCCGTACGGTAGAACTGATTGTGGAATAATTCCTCCATCTGTGGCCAATTAAAAACAAAGTTAGGAGGTAGACGAATATACCATGAAAAAGCTGCACCTGTCAAAGAGTTAGGAAAAAGTCTCAATTTCAACCACGGGCTAACACTGGCCTCTCCACATTGAACCGTGAATCGGCCAATGTGTTCCACGGTCGATTGATTCCCCTCTCCACTAAAGGTTACAAAGTCAGGGACTTTATATCCTCTAGGGAACTCAACTTGGTCTACCACTTCTAGATAAGGAGTTCTATAAATTGGTCGGTCGGCACCTCTAAGTTCCAGGCCATATTCTTCTGTGAGTAAATCAGCTAATTGTCTTCTATCTAACATGACTTGAGGTGGCTGATTTAATATTGGTGGTACCTGATTAAAAATTGGCGGCTGATTAGCCGCTGGTTGATAGCAATTCGGCCAATCATGTGGCTGATTAGCCATATTCTGCCCCCCGAGCCCTACCTGTGGCGGCACATGAGTATACAGTGGGTTCGGTGGCCTCCACCTGATCTGATTGCCCCCCGAGTTCAAAGGCATCCGAGGAGGGTTTGGTAGAATTACCTATGGCTGCGAACCTACTACTGGTGGCTGATTAGAACCTGCCAACGTAGGCTGAGGATAGCTTTCTGCCCAGGTGAGTAGCGTATGAACCGGCTGACTTGATGTTGCACCTGGTTGGAGTGTCACTACTGGCGACCATGGCTGTGATGTTTCAATGGCCCTCTCTGGCCGAGCAGCTTGTGATAGATTCGGCTGAGAAGCCGATTCCTGATTGTTGGAGCTGCTAGCTTGAGTCGGCTTGTTCAAAATAAAGGCTGAGAGTTGGAACATATTTTCATGCAAGTCGTTGTAGCGTGCTCCCATCCTTCCCATTGCATCTACCAAGGAGCTAACCTGTGCTTGAAGTACGGCTAACTCATCAGTAGGACCTGCTGCAGAGTTCTCAGCCTGTACTTGCTGATCGCCTTCCTCCAAATCTTCATCAGTAGCCACGGCCTTAGAATTTTTTGTGAGCCGCGGCATATTTGCCTCTTTTATAACACTCTAGTAGTGGTCCCACCGGGCGTGCCAAAACGTGTTCGCGCGGTTTTTGTTCCCTACGCCGGTCAATGGACTCTTCGCGGGCGTGCCAGAATATTTGTACAAAATACCCAAAATATGTAATTGAACACCAGCCTATCCCTTTTTCCGATGGCTGACTCTCAGGCGATTGTGTGGGAGAGAGACTAGTAAGAACTCCCAGCAAGGTTCTTTTATGCCTTGTTTGTAGCAAGGACTTTTTAGAGTGTCTAAAGAAATGCAACGGCTGATGAATGTTTGAATGGATAGAATGGCCAAGTGAAGACAGGCGGCAAGAACTTAATCGATCGCCGGCCGAACGTGATGGCGAGAACTTAATCAATCGCCATCAGCCAAACACAATGGCAAGAATTTAATCGATCGCCACTGAAACGTGATAGCAAGAATTTAATCAATTGCCATCAGCCAAGTAATGACAAGAATTTAATCAATTGTCACTACAATTCAATGGCAAGAATTTAATCAATTGCCATTGAATTGAAAGCCTAACTAAAATTGCGTAATTAAAATTGGCATAATTGAAATTGAAAGAAAGTAAATGGCTGAATCGAAATAGTTAACAATGATCTAATCAATTGCCATTAAATTGAAATAAAGAAATTGATAGGAAAATGACGTAGAGTCAATTGAAAACATTTTAGTTGAAATGTATGTTTTGTGGTGGTGCTGGACAAATTGGAATGGAATACAATACTTCTATTTATAGAAGTTCTATCTCAACTTATTTTCCTAAGTTATTGCTAGAAAATCTCTCCTTCTTTGATTCTTTCTCTTCACAATTTGAACTCAGTCAAATCCTATTGTTATTCCGCTTCCTTTCTTGTTTTGTTTCAGTAGGAAATCTCTGTAAAAACAACCTTCCTCGATTTAATCACATGTAAGTTGCCGAGATATTGCTAAAACGTTGCTAGAAAGTTGCTAAAAAGTTGCTAATTTTTAGCAACTCCCCTCCTTAAGTTTAGCAGCCCGTTTCATTCCCTTAAATGGCCCAAAAGCCATTTATCGATTTTATATTCATGACGCGGCTTCCTTTCGTATTTTTCCTTGTTCCATCCAACTAGAATTCCTATAAAATAGGAATTCAGTTGTCTGATTTCCTTAAAACTTTAGTCTTTCCTTTCCTGTTGATAACCCAACTTGAATAAAGTCAAATGTTTGTTGCTATATTTTAACAACTGCCTTGTTAATGAAGTGGCTGAGTAACTTTCTCCAATACTTGCTCCTGATATTTCTTAACTGGCTGATTCCCTTGACGCCATGTTAAAAATACTTATCAGCTTTTCATTGGTTCACGTCATCGCTGAGATGGCTGCCAAGTTTTGGTACCAACAAATAGATATTTCATATCACTAAGATTCTAACAAATTTAATTGTATAAAGTGAATTTGTATAAAAATCGCGAGTTACGAAAACAAATTCGCGAATTACAAAAATTGAATTTGTAGATTTTTTACGAATTCACTCTCAAATTGCAAATTTACGTACGGAGCTTGAGAGGTGGCCCTCTTTTAACAAATTGTGTGAGGTGATGACAATAAGAATAGTTGGTCAAGAATTAAATGTACCGAGGTGAACCTGGTGGCATACACTTAATTATTTGATATTTAGGAGGAGCAACGATGGAAGGAACAAAATTACTTGTCTACCAAGCACGCATTAGCTAGACATAAGAGTCCATTCAAGTGTTAAAATATATTTTTTTTTTTCCTGAACAATTTGTATTGCCAAAAACCATCCTAAACAATTTCTTATTGCCAAAAACTTACAACAATAAACAACAAAACAAGCCCAAAAAATATATATATAATAAATAAATAAAATACAACCTAGACATAAGAGTCCATTCAAGTGTTAAAATATATTTCTTTTTTCCTAAAAAATTTGTATTGCCAGAAACTTCCAACAATAAACAACAAAACCAGCCCCCAACTAGTTAAAATATTTAGTATCGTCTATTAATTATTTCATACCACTCCAAAATCAGTATTACTACTATAGAATAAAAACGACCACCAAAAGTCGTGTACAAATTGGACACTTCTTTGATTCAGTCGTTTTAAAAACAACAAAAATAGCTGCTCAAGTTGCATCTACCCCAACAAATGGAGAAGGGAATGAGATCTCAAAATGCTCATTGCTTGGTCTTGCCATTCCCAACCCAAGGCCACATTAATCCCATGCTCCAATTCTCTAAACGTCTACAACACAAAGAAATCAAAGTCACACTAGCCATCACCCGCTTCATATTCAAGACCACCAAGCACCAGCTCTCCGGCTCCGTCACGGTGGAGACAATCTCCGACGGCTACGATGAAGGTGGTCGTGCACAAGCAGAGAGCAGAGAGGCCTACTTGGATCGATTGCACCAGGTCGGCGAGCAAACTCTGACCAACCTGGTTGAAAAGCTCCGCGACATAGGCCAACCCGTGGATTGTATTGTGTATGATGCTTTCTTGCCTTGGGCTCTTGATGTAGCCAAACGGTTTGGATTGGTTGGAGCTGCGTTTCTCACTCAATCTTGTGCTGTGGACAATATCTACTATCATGTGTACAACCAAATTTTGAAACTTCCTGTCACGGGACCTAAAGTTCTTGTTCCTGGATTGCCCCCACTTGAACCTTTGGACTTGCCCTCTTTTGTTTATGATTTTGAGTCACACCCACCTCTCTACAAATTGGTTATGAATCAATTCTCCAATATTGATAAAGCAGATTGGGTCCTCTGCAACACCTTCTATGAGTTAGAGAAAGAGGTTGGTTCATTGGAATATGATACAATATTTGGCTTGTTAGTCGTTATATATATTTTATTATGTCCTTTGAAATAAATTTCTGACTCTCACTGTATAGGTGGTGGATTGGATGGCGAAGCTTTGGCGATTGAGGACAATTGGACCAACTATACCATCAATTTACTTAGACAAACGAATCCAAGATGACAAAGCATATGGTCTGACTATGTTCAAGCCGAGCAACGACGATTGCATAAAATGGCTAGACGAGAAGCCAGATGGGTCAGTCGTCTATGTGTCATTTGGGAGTTTGGCAGAGCTAGGAATTGAGCAAATGGAAGAACTAGCATGGGGTTTGAGAGGAAGCAACAAGTACTTTTTGTGGGTGGTCAGGGCATCAGAAGAGGCTAAGCTTCCGAAAGACTTTGTGGAGGAGACATCAAAGAAGGGATTGGTGGTGTCATGGTGTCCACAGATGGAAGTTTTGTCACACAAGGCGATGGGATGTTTTGTGACACATTGTGGGTGGAACTCTACCTTGGAGGCATTGAGCTTGGGGGTTCCAATGGTGGCAATTCCTCAGTGGACGGACCAAACCACGAACGCCAAGTATGTCACGGATGTGTGGGGAATGGGGCTCAAGGCCAAGCGCGACGAGAAAGGGATAGTTAGAGGATCAGAGGTGGAGCATTGCATAAGGGAAGTGACAGGGAGAGAGAGAGGGAAAGAGATCAAAATGAATGCCATAAAATGGAGGGAAATGGCAAAGGAATCAGTGGATGAAGGAGGAAGTTCTGATAGAAACATCGACGACTTTGCTGCAAATTTAGTAAATTCTTGAATCCGCTATTGAGTTCCTCTTGAAACAATAATTTTGCAATTTTAAGAGTCGTCTGACTATTGTGGTGCACAATAAATATTGTAAGTCACTATGTTGCGTTTGGGCAATTTAAATCGATACCTTGAATTTAGAATTGAGCCAAATCTAATTCAAAGTGAACTAAAATTTTTCGAATTCCAAATATAACATGCCAATTAGGTGATCTCAAAAATAGTATGAAAGTATCTGTAACAACATTCCAAGATGGTAACTTATCAATGAATTATTGTACAAAACAAACTGCCAACCCTTGTGTTGACGCTAAAATCGGCTCCTTAGATCTGATTCGCAATTGATGTGATACGGGCGTGCCAGAACTAATTGTATGGTTCGAGTGTGAGTTGTTAACTACAGTCTCTTTGAGAATATTGACTATTAGGCGATGTGAGGAGAAAAAGAACAATAAAACTCCTCTTTTGAGTTCAGGATTGCCTTAATTAAAAGGACTTTATTAGTGAATAATTATAGTAACAATTTGAGAATAGAAATGGGAGAAATTATAGATATAGAAAGTGATAGGGAGAAGAGATAGGGGAGAGAGATATAGGAAGATAAATACAACTAGACTGAAATAGAGAAGGAGAGAGATAGAGATAACAAGGATGTTATTTTGGGAAAGAAGCTTGAGAAAGCCAACACAATAAATTAAAGATTTTGAGGGTGTGCACCTCTATCACAACATGCCTCTTTGATTATTTATAGAATAAAACGTGAACAAAATCCTATACATAGGCATTCTAATTACATCAAAACTCTATCAAATAACTAACTACTATTTTCAAATAATAAACTAATCCTATAGATAATCATCAGCATATAAATAAACTAACGGATATATATTAGCAATATATTTCCTATCTATTTGTTATTTCAACCAAACCAACTCTATCTGTGGTGCCTTTGAACAAAATCCATGCAAAATCCAATCTTTCTTTAATTGTAACGTCACTATCCCAATTGCAGTCCAAGTGTATTATTTAATCCATGTAGATTAGTAGTAGCTTATTGCCCAAACTAATTGTCAACCCCAAACCACACAATTGCCACATTACTGTCCACATTATATTTTAAGCCCACTATGTAATTTATGCAAAGTAGTAGTGTTCTTCAGCCCAACTCAATTACCACACAATCTTCAGCCAAATTGCAGTCCAAGCCTAATTACCAAAAAGAGTGTCAACAATGCCTCCCCCCCCCCCCCCTCCCCCCCAATTTTAAATGTCTTATCGGCTGTCAACCGCCCAAGTTGATAAAATATTTGAAATTTAAAGTACATTGAAAGGAACTTTTGAACAAAGGCTGCGCTAGTCACTTAGAATCAGATTGCAAACCAACGAGCTCTAAAGCTTTATTTCTTCTGAATCATCTCTGAGATGATCTTTATTTCATATAAGCCAAATCTGCTGATTTAGGCTTTTTCCTAAATTTTTCCAATATCGTCAGCCCATAAACCAAGGAAGGACTTGCCCCCATGCGTTTTCTAACTCAGCTAGCAAATCATGATCATGATCGGCAAGAATTAAATTATTATGAAGCGTCATTCTAGCCGATCTGCCTATTATTTCTACTAAATGAATAAAATTGTACCAATAAGGAGTTTTCTTAGTTGATTTCCTTTCAGCCGATTTTGCCTTAGCCGATTTTACATTCAGCTCAATCGGTAGGACTGCATCATGCCCAAAAGTCCATTGATCGGCAAGCATGACCTCACTGTAATCGGCAGGCAGAAGTAGAGGGTATGAATCAATCAACTTTTGCTGGGGGTTTGCAATCACATGCCCCTCGGCAGCCGCTGGTTTTTTAGCCAATTTTTCCTTAGCCGATTTTCTCAACCGAGCTCTAAATATCCTTTTGAAATTAACAATGGCTAGTCTTTTTCTTCTTTTCTTGAAAATGGGCAAAGGACAGCGAGTTAAAACAATTTTTTCAGCTGATAATTGTTTTTGTTGATTATTAAATGTCACAATCGGCAAGGAATGCTGATACATAGGCCGCTTTACTTTCAACCGATTTGTACCCTTCTATTCATGACAACAACCATGGTGACATGCTGATTTATATATGTAAGGCTTTTTGATGTTAATCTCAACAACATCAACTTCCAGTTCATTATCAACTTTAGCTGAAAACACTTCATTAGGGTCTTTGTAATAAGTACCCTTGGAGGAATTCTTTCTTTCCTTCTCCTCTTTGGGTATCTCCTCCCATATTTGAGCCATTAGTGTTTTCATCTCCTGCTTAAATTATGGCCAACTTTCTTGCTAATTGGCCATCGGCTGCCCCCCGAGTACCGAAGATTGTAATACAGGGGTGACATGCTGATTTACCACTTGCCAATAATCGATTATTGGCTTCTGCCGATAATCGGCTGCTAAAACTTGCGGATAATCAGTGACTGTCGGCTCCTTCGGTATTTGAGCCATTAGTGTTTTCATCTACTGATTAAATTCTGGTCAACTTTCTTGCTGATAATGTTGAAACTTGCTGATAATCTAATGTTGAAACATGCCGATAATCGGTTGCTGTTGACTAGTAATATTTTGAAAAACTTTGCTGCAGATTTTCTGGTAAAATTTCCTACCGAGATCTGCAAGGCAGGCCAATTTCAGTACTAGGCTGATAGTTTATCCAACTTTGTTGTTGATAAGTTATCTGTTGTCACTAATTTACCACTTGCCAATAATCGGCTGCTAAAACTTATCGATAATCGACTGTTAGCGTCTGCCAATAATCAGCAACTGGTTGCTGATAATCGACTACTGGAACATGCTGATAATCGGTTGCTGGAACATGCCAATAATCAGCGGCTGTTGGCGTCTACTGATAATCAACTATTGGAACATGTCGATCATCGGTTGCTAGAACATGCCGATAATCAGCGACTGTAGGCGTTTACCGATAATCAACTGCTGGAACATGCCAATAATCAGCTGGCCAACCATATGGCTGATTAGAATACTGGTACATTGGCTAATTTGACTGATCAGAATATTTATATGTCGGTTGAAAAGCCGACTGCATATTTTTACTATAAATCACTCACCTAGTGGGATCTCACAGGGTATGCCAAAAATGTTGACGTTAAAATTTGCTCTTTAGATCCGATTCGGAATTGATGTGATACGGGGGTGCCAGAACCAATTGTATGGTTCGAGTGTGAGTTGTCAATTACAGTCTCTTTGAGAATATTAACTATCAGGCGATGCGAAGAGAAAGAGAACAATAAAACTCCTCCTTTGAGTTCAGAATTGCCTTAATTAAAAGGACTTTATCAGTCCATAATTATAGTAACAATTTGAGAATAGAAATGGGAGAAATTATAGATATATAAAGTGATAGGGAGAAGAGATAGAGAGAGAGATATAGGGAGAAAAATAAAGAAAGAGATATAGAGATAACAAAGATGCTATTTTGAGAAAGGAACTTGAGAAAGCAAACACAATAAATTAAAGATTCTGAAGGTGCTGGACTTCTATCAGAGCATGCTTCTTTGATTATTTATAGAATAAAACATGAACAAAATCCTATACATAGGCATTCTAATTACATCAAAATTCTATCAAATAACTAACTACTGTTTTCAAATAATAAACTAATCGTATAGATAATCACCAGCATATAAATAAACTAACGTATATATATTAGAAATATATTTCCTATCTATTTGTTATTTCGACCAAACCAACTCTATTTGTGGCGCCTTTGAACACAATCCATGCAAAATCCAATCCTTCTTTAATTGTAACGTCGCTATCCCAATTGCAGTCCAAGTGTATTATTTGATCCATGTAGATTAGTAATGGCTTACAGCCCAAACAAATTGTTAACCCCAAACCACACAATTGCCACATTACTGTCCACATTATATTTTAAGCCCACTGTTTAATTTATGCAAAGTAGTAATGTTCTTCAGCCCAACTCAATTACCACACAATCTTCAGCCCAATTATAGTCCAAGCCTAATTACCAAAAAAGGTGTCAACACCTTGTTGTACCACTTCATTACAAACAGCCAACGCTAGTGTGCTCTGTAACGAATCACCGAAAAACCACTCCCACATTTTCTTTTCATGTCCATTCACCTCTACCATATGGAGGTTCATTCAGAGAAAATGCAGATTCTATACTCAGATCAACAATTGGGAATACCATTGCGGGCAAGTGTTCCTTGAAAGAACAAGTCACCTATGAACTTGGTAGGGAAATTTGCCCTCTTAGCAACTGTTTATCATGTATGGAGCGAAAGAAATGCTAAGATGGCCAATCATACTCCTCTCAAAATTCAGTCATGAGTCAAATAACTTCCACATTACAGAGAAGCTATCCACCACCATTCTTCTCTGAAGGAATGGAACCTTGAAGCTCGCCCTGTCCCCACCAAGACAACCAAACGTTAGCTAACAATGGCGTGGAAGATAGCGAACTGAAAACCTAGCTAATCGGAGGTGTATGTATAGAAACTGCTATTGGCCTCGAAGCCATTATCATTTAGCCATTAAAACTTGTTCGCTTTTGGACTTGAACATTACGGGCCTGCTTATAAACATTTATCTAGAATACTGTTTGGACTTCTAGCTTTCAGGACCCTATTCGAGTTTGAGTTTACTAGGAGTTTTAGCCTTTCTAATTTGTTGGCCAAATCCTTTATGTCTTTTATTCCTTGGATATCACATTTTAATTAAACAGCCACTTTCCTCTTTTCCTGAGTATTTTTGTAGACTTAAAGAGTTATTGAGCTATATTTGGGAGATATATCTCATATAGTTCACACAATATAAAAATGTTTGAAGTTGCTTAGCATTTCCGATTTTATTTGGAAATCCATTAAGTTTTTTTTAACACGTGGTTGGAGTATGATTTTTCCATTATCTATAGTTAAACCTTGGAAATCTATTTTTGCTGTTTCAAATATCATTTGTTTTTTTATTAATAATGATACCATGCTTTTTGATGGCTTGAGCCACTTTATATTAGGTGTTCCCTATGGGACTTTCTATCTTTTGAGAAGACAATAATATCATTTATATATACAAAACAATATTCTTAATGTGGACTAAATATTTCGTCCAAAATATATTGACTGCAT